TCCTCAGCACCAAGTTTAGAAGTGTTACTTACCTCGAACAAGCCAAATCCAATACCGAGCAAGCCAAGTGATGCTCCAAAAATGTCATCCCGCGCGTACCGATCTCCGAACGGCTCGAAACTAGCCAAAAGCAACTCAAGAACATCAAATCATGCCTAGGAAACAATTTCAAATGATAAAGGTCGAATCTTTAATGGAAAAGATCCAAATATGCCCTTGTACTATACGAAATTGAGCACATTTGCCCTTCGTTAATACTTTAACCCAGATATGCCTTTACCGTCACATAGTTGGTCCATATATGCCCTTAACATCACATAGTTGGTCCATATATGCCCTTTTTGAAATGGAATCCATCCAAACTAATTAGCTCTTTATTTAATTGTATTAAAGTGTATTACAAATACTATCTCCTTTTTATTAGTACTTTTTTTTTCTTTACCTTTCTCCTTTCTTTCTTCTTTTTTCTTTTCTTCTCTTTTTTTCCTTTTGTCTTTCTCCCATATCCACTCTAGCAGAAATGCAGGGTAAGGCTGCGTACAATAGACCCTTGTGGTCCGCCCCTTCCCCGGATCCCACACATAGCGAGAACTTAGTGCACCAGGCTGCCCTTTTTATTTTCTCCCATATCTGACTTCCTCCATTGCTGATGCCTTCTCCATTTTCGTCAATAATTTCACGTGATTTTATTCCTTAAAATCAATCCTACACCACCGAAAACTTCCAAGCGAGAAGGCTCTGGTTCTTCTAAAAAGAAGGAGATGAAAATTATCGGAGAAATTTTTTCGGTCGTGTTAATTTGGTGAAGGTAGGATATGATGATATAAATTTTAAAGGTGTTGTTCACCGTGGAGCTTAGGATTTGAAGGGAACAAGACCTTCAAAATCTGAATAACCATATCCTACCTTCACCCAATTAACACCACCGAAAAAATTTCTCCGATAATTTTCATCTCCTTCAGGTCAGAAGAACCTGTGGGGTTTGTGATAGTGAAATTAGCAGGAATTTCTGAGTTTTGTCGCGTTAAATTGGTGACGAAAATGGAGAAGGCATCAGCAATGGAGGAACTCGGATATGGGAGAAAGAAAAAGAAAGAAAGAAAAGGAAAGAAAAAAGAAGAAAAAAAAAAGAGAAAGGTAAAGAAAAAAAAGTACTAATAAAAAGGAAAAAGTGTTTGTAAAATATTTTAGTACAATTAACAAAAGAGCTAATTAGTTTGGGTGGATTCCCTTTCAAAATGGGTATATACGGACCAACTATGTGACCGTAAGAGCATATATAGGCTAAAGTATTAACGAAGGGCAAATGTGCTCAATTTCGTATAATACAAGGGCATATTTGAACCTTTTCCGAATCTTTAATCAAAATACCAAAGTCAACCAAAAAGTCAAACTCGGGCGCGCACCTCGGAACCCGACAAAACTCACAAAATCCAACAACCCATTCAATTACGAGTCCAACCGTACTAGTTTCACCCAAATCCGACTCCGAATCGATGTTCAAAACTAAGAAATGCACTCTATGAAACTTTGGACAAAATCCCCCAATTTTATCTTTAAAATTCATAATCCAATTACCAAAAACGAAGATAGATTCACGAAATATAATCAAAACCGAGTAGAGAACACTTACCCAATCCATATGGTGAAAATCGCCTCAAAAATTGCCCAAATCCGAGCTCCCCAACTCAAAATATGACCAAATGAACAAACTCTCAATATTAAATATTTTTGCCTAGTTGTTCTACCTCTTTTTGTGTGTCAAACGATCCCGAAACCCACTTTTGATACCTCCAATGGATTCCTTCTGATTTACCAGTCAAGTTAGACTTTTGACTCACTCTATTTGACCCTATAATTAAGAAGATATGTTGGTTTTAATATTTAGAAATAGCGCAAATTTTTAAATACGAATTCAATGGCAATTTTGTTATTAATCTGGAAAAAAATCTTACAAGCCAATTCTTAGTAAAATGATCATAAATTCCTCATACGATGTCGAAACTTGATGATTTTAGTTGCTATGGTTCTAAAATTACGATACATATCTAATTCTTCAATCAAAACAGAAATTGGAGTTCATTTGCTTAATATGGGACCACTTATGCTTGAAGAAACGGCGTCGAAACATCAAAAACGAGCGCAACACAATTCAAACCTATCTGAAACTCACTCGAGCCCCTGGGACCCCGTCCGAACATACCAACAAGTCCCATAACATAACAGGAACTTATTTGAGGCCTCAAATCACGCATAACAACATTGAAATGATGAATCGCACCTCGAATCAAGCGCAATGAACTTTGAATCTTTCAACTTCCAAAACTCATGCCGAAACATATCAAATCCACCCGGGATGAGCCCAAATTTTGCACACTAGTCTCAAATGACATAATGAAGCTATTCCAATTCCCGGAACCACAATCCGAATCGGATATCCACAAAGTCAACTTTCGGTTAAACTTATGAACTTTCCAAATCTTCAAATTTTCAACTTTCGCCAATTTGTGCCGAAACCTTCTAGAAACGTATAAATGCAAATCCGTGCATACACCTGAGTCTAAAATCACCATCGGTACTAACGGAACCATCAAAACTCCAATCCGAGGCTAAATACTAAAAAGTCAAACATCGTCAACTCTTCCAACTGAAAGCTTCAAACATGAAATTCATTATTCCGAACTAATTTCGGAACACCTGAAAACCAAAACCGACGATTCACACAAGTCATAATACATCATATGAAGCTACTCAATACTTCAAACTACCGAGTAAAGTACAAATGCTCAAAACGACCGGGCGGGTCATTACACTTTATCTCACTATTGACTGCCTCGTTCAAAATTTATCCTTTCATGGAAGACAACTTCTTTAAAAGTTTGAGACTCATTTTTTAACAAGAAAGTCAAAAAATCTTATCCAAAGAAAGTAGTTGTCCTTTGACGTTTATTACGTCTCGGATTCTCCTCATTAGGTGTATTTTCATGTGTTTCTTCCCGAGGTCACTTAGATCTTTCGCAAGATGACTCATACTTCTTTTTATACGGATATATAATTTCAAAGCGTTCGGCATTATCTAATTCTATCATCGTATTAATGTGAATGTCAGAATTTTTTGATTTATCAACTAGAAACGATATCCCTTACTGTTGATTGCATATCCTCTGAAAATACAATCAACGATTTTCGATCATATTTTTATCCTTTTGAGTTTAAGAACTAGCAACTTTAGCTAAGTACCCCCCCACACTCTAAAATATTTTAAGTTGGGCTTCCTTCCTTTCCATTTTCATATGGAATGGATTGCGTTTTGCTATGGAGAACTCAATCGAGTATTCGATTAGCTGTAAGAATAACTTCCTCCCACAAGTTCTAGGATAAACCAGAAATTATCAGCACGGCATTCATCATCTCTTTTAATGTTCCATTTTTTCTTTTCGCAATTCCTTTGGATTGCGGTGAGTAAAGGGCAGTCATTTAGTGAATAATGTCAAATTTTAAACATATATCTTTAAAATGAGATTCATATTCATCACCCCGATTACTTTGTAGAGCCAACCACAGGAAATGTTTCTGTCACGATATAGCTAAAATTAATAAATGGTGAAGTTTTTAATCTTCAAATCGAGTAATATCTGACATAGCCGGATTTAGTAAACGTTGAAGTTTTTAATCTTCAAACCGAGTATATCCGATATAAGTTCACTACGGAAAGTTTAAAGGGAAACCTACTTATCCAGATGTAATTAACCCTTGATTGTAAATCTCACTCATCTGTGCGTTCCTTTGCCTTATAGTCATTCCCCGTTCATGTGGGGGATTGTTGGGATTGAAGGTTGGTGAATAGGAAATGGAGGGAAGAAATGTGAAGAGAAAGTGAACTCCTTTATGCTTTGGAAAGAGCAATTGTCCCTCATTGATGGTGGAAAGGAAAAGGAATGTGCTTATATTGAGAAAACACTTCCCTTGATGTTAAATGGGTTGGAAAGAAGGTAAGCATCGCGTCGTCGCCGTTGCCGCTTGGCTCGGCTTTGGCTTCGGGTTCGGCTTCGAATTCGGCTTCAGCTTCGGTCAAAGATCGATTGATTGATTAATCTTTTTGGATAAAATTTCTTTTAATTATTTAATTAATTAATCAAAAGTCAACCCGGAATAACCTAGGACCCACGCGCGACGTGACCCAGTCCGTTTCTTTCCCGGATTATTTTGAATTATATTTTCTCGGAATATTTTGAACGTTCCCGTCTGTTCCAACAATCATGGCTGTTTCTGAAAGGTTGCAATTGATCCCAGAATCTTTCCTTACGAAATTTTCAAAACTTCTTCTCCTTCTTCTATACAAATAAATTTTAGTGTGATTTACAGCCACTAAGTGGTTCGCTGTTCACCGGCGTTTTTAGTACCGATACTCTGGTGAGTTAAATCGTTCTATTCTGGGAGGATAATATTCCAACACCTTGTGTACTTGAGGAGAATAATTTCCTTAAGGACATACTGTGCATTCGGTGGGCTCGATTTTATTCCGGAATAAATTTTCATATTCTTGTATATGGTGGAAAACCTGCGTACCCCTAAACTACAAGCTTTCTTTGAAGCCCCTACAACATGGGATATTTGAAGAATCCCCTTTCTGATTATTTACATTTCTGCTTTACTACTATTTTTCCTGTTTCTATTTTTGTTACAGGAAATTTATCATTTCATAATATATTATAGTAATACAGATTACTAACAATTACTACATGGTGATGATGATGGAAGAAGCAAAATACACGAAATAAATATAAAAGAATAGGTGTGTGTATTGTACACAACTTACTCTTTATATTTCCGCTAGGAAGTTCTTTTATCCCTCGAACATATGAGTTTTATAGATTTTACACATGTTACGTTCTTGGCCTCCAGTAACTTCAAATTGGGCATGATTACTTTGAAGTCCATATTAAGGAGTAAGGAGGGCTTGAAATAACAGAAAGGAGTGAAATGATTACGTGCCAAAATTAAGAGAAGAAGAAAAAGCTAATAAATGATTCCAAAGTAGGGTCAAAGGATAGAAATATTATACAAAATATTACTCTGCTAATACTAATACTACATGGACCTAATCATGATGGTCATCACCCCCTTTAACACTACTTTAGATTCAAAACTACATCCCCATAGTGGACTCTATCTTTTTACATAATAATAATAATACTGAATTGCAAAGATTTCTTTCTCTCTTCTTTTGCATTGTCTAAAGCAGCATTAAGAAAATTGCACAGCACAAAGCTCTTTCAATTGCTGAAAACCCCACCACCTGCATTTCCAAATTCCAAACCCCAAAATTAAAAAATAAATAAATGAATGTACAAAAAAGATTAACCATCATCAGCCTCCTTATTGTACTTAGCAAGGAATAAAAGTAACAGCTCTCACTTTTATTGTAATCTATCAGTCTCTAACTGTTTCTCTACTTCTGTTTTAAAAATGAATATCTCTCCCAAAATGTTTTTGTTCTCCATTTTTTTCCCGAAAAGGTTAATTTTTTTGCCCCCATAGACATATTTTATAATAACATTTTAATCACATTTTTTTTTTTGGATTAGGAAAAAACAAGACCAAACTCAATTAATATTCTTTAGTAGATTTAGGATTTTAGATCACAAAATTAATCATTGATTACTATGGTTTATAGGTTTTTTCTTTTTTTCTTTTTTTTTGCTAAACATGGTTTATACGTTTAAATGTTCCAAAATAGAAGTATATATCAAGTAATTTATTTTCAAATAAAATTAGGAAATAAACAAAGGATGAAAATAAAAAAGCGAGGCAGTCAGACTGAAGAAAGTCCAAAATTTCCTCTTTTAAAAGCAATAAAAGTAATTTCTGAATTGCAAAATTAAATAAAGCAAGCACTTTCTTCACTAATCTTAACCAACTTTACAACCTCTTCCTTTTGCTTTCTTTAACCTTTTACTTTTTTGACATGACTCACTACTTAAAGATACACTACACCTTAACAAGAATTAATGTCATTACTTCCAAATTTGTGAACTATTTAGCATACCGACTTTACCAAAATCTGTCTTCTAAGCAACAAATTTAAACCAATCTTATTCACTATCCAAATGAACTCAACTAATTTGCTCCATTTTCTTCTGAAACCAAACTCAATTACTCTCTCTATTCCAATTTAGGCAACAATATCTCATTTGAGACGTTCCAAAACAGTATTCATCATCTTTCTATTTATAATGTTATCTAATAGTTCACAACTTTTACAAATTTTTAAGACTTATATTCCACATATCTCGTGTTGATGTAGTAATAATTTTGTGTTTTAACTATTACCTTTAACATATTCTTTCATTACTATCAATGTAGGATTTACAACAACAATATATGATATGTCCACCCTAATCCCACAAGTGGGGTCTGAAAAAGCAGTGTGTACGCAAAACTTACTCCTATCAATGTAGAACTATATCAAAGAGACACTATACTTTTTTTAAAAAATTATTAACTAATTTGAACCTGTAATAGCAGGTTAGTGATTTTATCATAGATTTACCGATAACTACTTCTCAACGACCTAATTTTAACATGTAATAGCAGGTTAGTAATTTTACACTATCAGGGATTGTTTGGCAGGGAAACAAGTTATCCCATAATTTATTACCCTATGATTAGTTATCCCACCATTTCAGAGGGATAAAAAAAAATACTACAATCCCGGGATAACTAATCTCAGGATTAGTTATACCATAATTTTATCCCAACCAAATATAAAATAAAATCATCTCAAATTAATTATTCTTTATCCCTCGTACTCATAGAACTTAAAGTTATTAATATAACATACAAGTCAAACAATATGGAGTAACATTATCTTCGGTCAAATAGCGTCATAATGTAAAATAAGACCAAAGGAGTAAATCAATTTTCTACTTACCTGCATTATATGGTGAGCAGAACCAGAAGTAGGCAAAGGGCGGATAGTAGCAGAGTCCACTTCACCGGTGGGCAAAGGAACCGCCGGATTGCTATTAATAAACGGAATATCACTACCTTTTTCCGGCAACATTGGTCCATTAGCAGGAAATAATGCACTAGGTGCAGGGCTAGGGGAAGTGGTTTCTCGCGGCTGAAAGGGCCATGGGTATGCCGGAGAAGATGATACAACGCCACCAGATATCACCGGTGGAGATCCCGCCGGTGGATGTTCCGGCGCCGGAGTTGAAAGAGAGACCTTAATTGCTAGCTTTTGGCCTTGTAAACATGCTGCATTGGTTCCATTGTTGAATGAGAAGTAAAATAAACCTGGTCTTGATGGGTGCCACTGCATTCATTTTAACAGAATTAATTCATCAGAAAATTTTAAAAAGATCAAATCTTTTAGCTAATTTTTGAACACCCTTTTGAATTCTAGCCGTGAATCTTAAAAAGTTGAAGAAATTGAATCTTGAAATTATGGAGAAATTGAGATAACTCTCTATGTTAAAGAAATTAGTAGCATTCACTCACACACACACACAGAGGAACTTACAGTATAAGACTTGGAATCAGATTTAGTGAGAAGTGTAGCTTGAGTGAAGTTGCAGACATTGAAGGCATTCTGGTTCTGGAAAATGTAGAGATTGTACTGATTCTTGTGCTGGAATACTGAAAGAAAAAAACAGAAACAAAAGGTAAATATTCAGTAAATATTTTGGTCCAAGTCAAAAGCTACCAATAACAGCAAAATGGCTCATATATAATTGAATGACTACTGAGTACTTACTAATGGAATCTCCAATTTGGACAGTTGGATTTTTCCATTCTGAAACTCCATCAACCACTACAGTTGCACTCTGAGAAAGCTGAAAAATTACACTTCCAAGAATGAAGAAAAACACCCAAAACATTGAGACAAGTCCCATGAAAATTGGTGCTAAATTCTTAGTCCTAAGTGAGGAAAGAATTAAAGAGTGTAAGCTTTAATACTAGTATCTTTTTGAGGTCAAGAATCCAATTTAATGGAGGAAAAGAGAGTGATACAGAAAAGTAGTATAAATACACAGAGAAAGAGAAAAATGGAGAGCTAGAGAGGTGTTAAAGAGAGTTGTCAGATGTGTTGGGCTTTTCACGGGAAGAGAGTTTTGAATGGTACAGATATTGAAATTTTGGGGAATGTGTATTTATTAGCACTATAGTAATTTTTATTTTATTTTTTTGAGTTTTTACAGTAAAAGTTGGAATGATTTTGTCTGCGGAAAATAAATATTTAACAAATGAAAAGATGCTTTCTTTTTAGGAAAAGTGGAACATGGAATTATGATGATTTTGGGTAGATGGTGATGAGTTATGAGTGATGATAGGGATTATTATTTCAAAATGATTAGTTTTGTGATTATGAATTTATTACTCTATTATTGTTATTTCCCTTTTCTTTAGGGATCTTGGGGAACCCAATATTTATTTGTTTAAAACTTTTAGAGTACATTTTTTGAAATTATTTGTGTCATTGCTTGTGGATTTCTAGGTTTATATTACTTATTACTCCCTCCGGTCCAAAATAAGTGATTTTTTGGCCTTTTTCTTGTGGTCTAAAATAAGTGATTTTTTCAGATTTCAAGAATGAATTAATTATTTTTTTCCTACATTGTCCTTGGAGTAAATAGTGTTGCAATATGTGTTAGGAGTTTATGTGGGATAATAAAGGTTAATATGGTCAATTCCATTGCTAATTAATGCTAAAAGGTGAATTTCTTAATCTGTGTGAAAACATCCAAAAAATCACTTATTTTGGACCGGAGGGAGTAGTTGCTTAAGATCTTGCCAACTCATCTAAAAAGAATCTGACGGTTCTAATTTATTATACTAGAAAGCAAAATCAACTTCTCTCCCACTTTCAAGTTTCAACTCTTCTGTCATTTGGGAGTCTTTCATAGCTCTAAAAACTTACACTATGATTATACCAGCTGTTGTTTTCTTCTTTCTTTACTGCTTCATCTATTACAAAGACTCACTTGGAATAGGTAAAGCTTTATTTGAAAGGAGATGAATTTTTTAGAGAAGTACTAATTAAGCGGGTCGTAACTCAAAAGACCTCTTTTTCGTTTGATTCTTTTCATTTCGTATTTTAGAGATTGAATTTTCCATATTGTCATTGTAGAAGAATTCATGTGTTTGATAGTTTTAGTGGCTAGACCTCATCGAAAGCATGTAACATTGCTAAATTAGTTTGTAGGAACACATAAGAAAGATAATGATGGCTGTTATTCTTCTTTTCATTTCCTCCAATAATCTCAAATTCGTATTCCTCATTAATCAATGGAAAAAACCCAAGTAGTGGAAAAAACTTTTTATCAGTAATCTCAGCTTGGCCGTGACTACAATAAGTCGGATGTAACATGCAAACTAAGAATTTTGGCCGTGAAGGAGGAAACCGAATAAAGGTCGATGGANGTCCTTGAGTAAATAGTGTTGGAATATGTGTTAGGAGTGTTTATGTGAAATAGTAAAGGTTAATATGGTCAATTTTATTGCTAATTAATGCTAAAAGGTGAATTTCTTAATCTGTGTGAAAACATCCAAAAAATCACTTATTTTGGACCGGAGGGAGTACTAGGTTGTGGGTTGTCACACGTTAATGCTTAGAAAACATTGCTAATTGGTACATTCACAATGTTGAGATCCAAAGGTGTCGATCAGAAATTACTAATTTGTCCATGTCATGAATGAACTATTGTCCATCTTCTAGAATATTCACTGCAAATTGAAGATGTTTCCTACTAATATCAGCTTTGTCTTCAAATTTCCTTGCGCTAAATTGAGCATAAATTGATTTTAAAAATTAAAATATTTTGTCCTCTCCTTACTCCATGTCAGGGACTGCTCACTCGTGTCACGTGGAAGGATGAAAGAAGAAAATGAAGCTGCGACTACCTAATTATACCTTCAAACAATATAGTATCTACTAGTACCATTTATTGAGTTATTGCGGTGGAGTTCCGCGCTATTTCATACTATTACTTTTCTCGTATTTGACGGTACAAAATTATGTCATATACGCCTATCTTTCTGCAGTGTGCTAACTCCTTTCTTGTAATTTAGGAGTTGTCACCTTTCTAAGTTATAGGGTGTGTTTTGGTACGAAGGAAAATATTTTGTTGGAAATAAATAGTATTCTTAATTATTTTTTGGTGTTTGATTAGGTAGCAAAAGATATATAATTTAGGCAAATAGTATATGAGAAGAAATGGATAAAGGGGCCGGGGGAGGGTGGTAGGTCGAGGTCGGGGGGAGGGGGGGGGGGAGTTGGGAATATGGTAGGAAATGTTGAGAAAGAGTACTCGAAAAAAAATCCCTCCTTTTGGTAAGAAAGTCATTTTCTCCAATTGAAAAAAAATGAGTTCATGAGAAAAGTATTTTCCAAAATATTTAAGTCAACCAAACATGGGAAATTGAAAAATATTTCATGAAAATTAATGTTTTTCTCATACCAAACACACCCATAATCTGCATTTTTATGTTATAAATCTGCCCTTTTAAGTTATAATCTGTTTTTTTCTTAAGTCAGAGAGCAATTTTTAGCTTTAAAATGATTTCTTAACGGAAAAATGATTTTAGAACGTGTTTGCATAAGTTCCGGCCAACCTTGACTGGTTTTTGGCCAAATCGATATTCCCGAATATTTTTTTTTTGGTAATTAAAATTTTTATTCACCAAAAAAGTATATGTACAGCTCTAGAAACCCGAAAATAAGTCTATCTTTCTTCCATTGGATTAGACATAGTCCCGAATATTTAGTGAAAGTTGAGTGATTTTTTTGGTTTGAACTATTAGTTTGAAGATATTTCGACAATTAGGCTATAAGTTTAATGATTTTTTTACGTAATTAACCCTATATTTTACTATTAAAAGCATATTAGATATATACAGTCAAAACTCTCTATAACAGCCTTGTTTGTTCCGAATATTTTTGAATGTTATAGCGAAGTGCTGTTATAGAAAACATATATTATAACATAACATAAAAATTAGTTCCGGTAAAGCTTGGCTTTTATAGTGAACTGTTGTTATAGAGAGATCTGACTGTACCTATATTTTTCATAAAACTTACAAGTTTAAACCTCTATGTTATCCAAAATAATGCCCATGCATATATTTTCAAATTCAATTGCTTGAAGAAAAAAAAAAAGAAAAAGAAAAACGAGAGAAGCAAAACACTACCTTCAAACATAAAGTAAATGGAAAAGAAAGGGAAAGAAAAACTCAGTTATCCCAAAGTAACAGTAGGTCAAAAAATAGGTCAACTTAAATCTAGAGCACAGTGAAAAGGGGTAGAATAAACATGGCTGGATTAGAAGAGCCAAGAAAAGAAATCCAACACTCTATCTGCCGCAAGCATGAGACACTATACTTCTTCACTAGCTATAACATCTACCAAATGGCTGACCAACACCAGTTTCTAGTTATGCCCATTAGTTAATTAATCATTTCTTTTAAAACTTTGTTTAACGAGATGAACGTACTTTTGAATTAAATTAGGAAACAAAGGTTATAATTTTGGTGGCCTAATACATTAAAAGAATAAAAAGTCAATAAGTATATACCAAGACAAAGAACTAGAAGACAAAAACAAGTACTGCTCCGAGGTCCTTTGAAATGTCCAATTCTTTTGCCAGGAACAGAAGCAGAAGTGCTTTGTCTGGTTGATGGAGCAAGATAAGAGATGGAGTATATGTGCTTCTTTTGTTAATTCTGTAATATAATCCAAGGAAACCCAATGCTATATATTTATCTTTTGAGGTAAAATAATCAGATAAATATAAGGAACAAAGAAAGGAAGACATGAATGGGGAAGTACAAGATATTACGCATGCAATTTAAGATAGCACACATGGGTTGTCCTCTACTGCTTGGTGTATAACGCTACTAGAATCCCTGTAAAAAGCGACCAAAGATTAGCGACCAAATTTGGTCTGTCAAAAAAAGCGACCAAAGTTGGTCGCCAAACTGCCGAAAATAATAAAAAAAATATTTGAAATATTTTAGCGACCAAAGTTGGACGCTATTTGGTCGCAAATTTAGTCAAACTGTTGACTGGACTGGTCAGACTTGTTTGGTCAAAGATATACTGAGATTAGCGACCAATGTTGGTCGCTTAAGCGGGACCCACATAAATTTTTTTAATAATTTTATTATTATTTTATAAAACTTATAAAATATAAATATATATATAATTTAAAACTTGCGACCAAAGTTGGTCGCTAACTGAAGGAAAAGTTGATAGCGACCAACATTGGTCGCTAAAACGGGACCCAGTTATTATATTTTAATAAATATATATTTATTTAAAATAAATTATAAAATATAAATAAATATAATTCAAAAGTTAGCGACCAAAGTTGGTCGCTTAACTAAATAGAGACCAATGTTGGTCGCAAATGTGGGACCCAGTTCTAACATTTAATAATTTTTATTATTAACTTAAATATTGTATAAAATATAAATAAATCTGATTAAAATTTAGTGACCAAACTTGGTCGCTAAATTAAATCCATGTACAGTTAGTGACCAACTTTGGTCGCTAAATTAAATTCATTTACAGTTACCGACCAAAGTTTGTCTCTATATGGTCAAAATTAAAAATCACTTTTATATTTACTATGTAAATAAAATAAATATAAGTCGTTAATACTTTTATAATACAAGGGATGAATAGTACTACGAAGTGGGCGTGTGTGTCTATATATATAATATATATATACTTACGCTATACTATGCACTAAGTATAAGTGTATTAGGTAATATTATATCGAATATAGCTTATATATATATAATATATATACTTACGCTATACTT